CTTTCCATAGATAGCATAGAGGCAAATGTGGAAAGTGCAGAAGTCCATGTGGAAAGAGCCAGTGAGCAGTTACAGAGAGCTGCCTATTATCAGGTAAATTTTGTGTGCTTGCTTGATTGTCAGTGTATGGTTGAGCACTAATGAAACAGGCAGAGCAAGACACTGAGGACTGCAGCACACCAGACTGCTTATTAAAACCAGCTCATGCAAGCTGGCATTCATTCAAAATTGCCTGCAAGGAGTATATAAAGCACTTGAGTCAAAAACATGGTATTGAAATTCACCTTCTACTTTAGACTAAAAGAGTAGAAATAGGGTCTGGCCCTTCACACTCTGCAAGCCTAAGTGTTTACCTGTCTTTGTTGTTGTTAGGAGTTAGCAGAAGAAACAAGAACAAATTCTGATATCGTATGCAACTTTTGAAGATATCAGCCAAGACACTGACATGCAAAAATCTGTGCCCAGACTTAGGTCTGGTCACTCTGGTGACCAGGATTTGCAGCACTCCTATCCAGCTGCTGAGCTTCTATCCCATAGTTTGTGCTCCATCAAATCTCTTGCAGTGGCTCTCACTGCTGTATGGGATCCAGTGTTTCCTGTAGGTTCCTGTCACCATCCTTGTCCCTCTAGCTCCAGCTTCTGTGAAGGGGTAAGGGTTCTGCTTTAGTCAGTCCATTACTGCTGGGACTTACACAAGAAAATACTGGACTCTTCCAAGCTGTTAAGTGGGAGGTACTGGAGGGCAATAAAACTCCAGTGCTGTTGACTGCAAGGGTGGGAATGTTGCTTTTACCATCTGGCAGCATGTAGTAGCAGTCTCTCTCTCCATGGCTTCCTTGCCAAAGTTCTGAGGTATTTATAAATCTAAGTTTCAGAGCTGTTGGATATGTTTTGCATGGGGTTTTTTCCTAGATGGAGAAAGAAGTGGTTATATATCAAATCCTTAGATGCCAAGTTAAAAATATTTGGTGTATATGGAAGGCCTGTAGTTTCCTGTGATGAATAAAGTGAGCAAAGCTGTAAAATCCAAGTTCAGTAACTGTACATGAAATAATTTAAATTGTAGAAATGCAACACCAAGCCCAAGTGGCCAAGGGGAGATTGTATGTGAGAACTGCTTAGGAGTTTGATTAGGAAAAAATGTAAATAGCTAGAAAGGTTTGGCCTTCTCTGAGGCTTGTATTTTCATTAAGAGAAGCAAAACCTGTCAAATTTTGACTTAACTGCATCTCTTAGACCACTGCACTCCTAAAATTAAAAACATTCATCTGTAGAATCATGGAGTTTAAGGAACATGTAAAAGTGTTCAGACTACACTGGTTACTTCTCTCTAACTGTGGGGGTACCAAGGGCTCTTGTTCACCCAAGTTAGTAACATGAATGGTAGCCTTGCTTTTTCCTCAAGTGTTCCTGGTGTCAGTGGCTTCTTTTTTCTTCTCTTATTAGAAGAAATCCCGTAAGAAGATCTGTATCCTGATTCTTGGCCTTGCTGTGGCCTGTGTAATCATAGGACTCCTTATCTGGAAGTTGAACTGAAATCTTCCCATGGAAACCAGTCTCACAGCTGAGATTTTTTCTGTCAGAGCAAACAGGCTGACTGGTCTTGGAGCTGAATTGACCACCCTGAGAGAGCAAAAGTTGGAACTACTTCTAATAATAGATACTAGCAACTAACGTGCAGGTAACTAGTATTTGGAATTAGTAAACCATGGAGACAGTATTTATCAGTTTATATACAAATTATATTGTTTTATGTAACTAAAATCTTGTGGTTTTGCTTTCTGTAATGTGTTCTTCCCTGTCCCAGCTGTATGCTGAAATGTGATCAATAATTGGAGAGGTCTTGTTTTTGACAAGTCGCACAACTTCAACATTTTGTACACGTAGGTAACTTTGTTGGACTGGAATGCAAATGCCATTCAAAGACAGCCCACCACCAAGTCACATTATGTAAATCCAGCAGTTTCTAAAGTCTCCAGTATCTGCCCCATGGTTTTATTGTCTCCAAGTGGCTGTGGTTCTAGATTCTCTTGAAGAAAAGGATGTTGTCACAGATTTGAGAGGCAAGGAGGGTATGTGTGGATGATGATTTGAACATGCTGGTCAGTTTAGCCTTGAGACTCATAACTGTGTTTAATTTTTTGGGTGTGGTTGGGGTTGTTTTTTATTTCACAAAATGCACTTGAGGACAGAATGTTCTTTGACTTAGAATAACAGTGCAATCTCCTTAGACAAACTAGCTGGTCGCTTGCTAGTGGACAAATAAATCTCTTCCAATGCTGACTCAAGCACTAAATATAAAAAGTTTAGCTGCTCACTCCCAACTGTTTTTAGAAGCTTCCAGGGGAAAAAACACTTAAAAATGAGGAAGTGGGCACCTAAGTTTACAAGCTAGCAACATTAGTGAAGAGTGTTAGCAGAAATCTTGATTCTGAAGAAGTGCTCTTGAAGTTCACTTGTAGTGTTCTAGTAAATGTTATGTGTGGCTTGTGAACATTTGGTATTTTCAAATCTTTATGAAATAGAAAGTGCAGAAACTGGCTGAGTGAAGTGCTAGGTTTTTCAGACTGGGGACGTGTGTGCAAATGAAAAGGATTGCTGGTTCCAGCTCATAGGGTTGGGCAGAACCAGCAGCCACTCCCCACTTCAATGTAGCTCTGAACTGACGTGCACTGGGAACAGTAATCTGTCCAAAACCCGGTGGGGGTGGTAAATGCAGTATACTGACCCATTTTGTATTTAATCCTTATTCCATGTCTCGTCTATAATAAAGTAAACATGAAAGCTGGGAAGAGTGTTCTCCCAATTGCACAGTGGTTTGCACTATTGCGCCGTCATTCCATCCAATAATTATCAATAAACACTTTTAAAAGCCTCTGTCAGAGCTCATTTCTCTTGCAATTTACACATTGGCACAGGTGTGTTTGCAGAGTAGAGGACGTTACATCAGCACAGTAGTGTTTCCTGCAGCTTTAATTCTGTGGTCCCTGATTTTTCAGAATGAAACTCCCTGAAATAATGAAATTAATTTCCAAGGACATACACAAGACTTCTGTGCAGCGTCCTGTACAATAGGTGATCCCAGAAAAATGAATCTCATACCTCAGAGCAGCATTGGGTCAGCTCTATTTGCCTTTTGCTAGAACTTGAAGCCATTTGCAAGCCTGTATGATAAAATCTGACTTGAAAGCATGTGACCTTTGTGTTGTTCTGCTCCTTTTTTAAAGTTTTCCTTGGAAATGGTAGGAGCTATTGATTTGAAACCTATTGATTTGTGCATGCCTGCTGCCAGACAGAGTCCTTTGGGTGTCACACTGCCATAGAAGAACAAAAGCACTTAGCTTTAGTTTGTTAGGTCACCACACCTAAACAGGAGCATTATTTGTGTGCTCCATCCTTCTCCTAGCCTGTTTTAGTCCCCTGGAAATTGGAATTGAGGGTGCAGGGCGCTGAGCTCAGGGTTTTTGTAGCTGCTTGACTCCTTTCTCCCCTACACAGAGGAGGGAGCTGAGCTGTGTGCTGCAGAGCCCGGGCTGGCCCTGCTCACAGCCGGCTGTGCCGCACCTCTCAGCGGTTCGCGGCGCTACAACCGGTGATTTTAACGCTCTCGTCTCACGTTCCCGAGCCTGAAAATCCGTCTGGAGACCTGGAACCTCCCGTGCTTGTTACTGCAGCGTCTGGCACTCGGATGAGCGTTCGACCCCTCCGAGAGATTCGGGAGGCGTTCGGGGATCCCGGCCGGCCGTGAGAGCCGGGCAGCGAGCGCGGCTGTGCCCGCCCGGGGCGGCTGCGGGCCGGGGCCGGCCGGGACAGAGGCAGAAAGGCCGGTGTGCTCGTACGGGCCGTGCCCCGGGTTCTGCTCGGACAGAGGCGCTGTCCCCGCGGTACTCGGTACCGGCACTGTCCCCGCGTTCCAGCGTCGGTACCGGCGCTGTCCCAGGGTCGGTACCGGGGCTGTCCTCGCGTCCCAGGGTTGGTACCTAGCGCTGTCCTCGAGTCGGTACCGGCACTGTCCCCGCGTTCCAGCGTCGGTACCGGGGCTGTCCCCACGTCCCAGGGTTGGTACCTAGCGCTGTCCTCGAGTCGGTACCGGGTCTGTCCCCCCGTCCCGGGGTCGGTACCGGGTCTGTCCCCCCGTCCCGGGGTCGGTACCGGCTCTGTTCCCCTGTCCCAGGTCGGTACCAGCTCTGTCCCGGGTCGGTACCGGCTCTGTCCCGGGTCGGTACCGCCTCTGTTCCCCTGTCCCGGGTCGGTACCGGCTCTGTTCCCCTGTCCCGAGTCGGTACCGGCTCTGTCCCAGGTCGGTACCGGCTCTGTCCCGGGTCGGTACCGGCTCTGTTCCCCTGTCCCAGGGTCGGTACCGGCTCTGTCCCCCTGTCCCGGGTCGGTACCGGCTCTGTTCCCCTGTCCCGGGTCGGTATCGGGTCTGTCCCCCTGTCCCGGGTCGGTACCGGCTCTGTCCCGGGTCGGTACCGGCTCTGTTCCCCTGTCCCGGGTCGGTACCGGCTCTGTCCCGGGTCGGTACC